AGTATTGCACGGAACTCTTAAATCCTCAGATGCTAGTATTGCAGGGTACCCTTGGCCCATTGAGTGCTAGTATTTCGGGGAATCCTAGGGTCCTCAATTCTTACTATTCGGGGGCACCCTCAGGTTCTCAAGTCCAATTATTGGGCGGCACCCTTAGGTCCTCAATAAGGACTCAAAAGTACCCCGCAATACTAGTGTCTCAGAACCAAAGGGTGTGGGTGTGTGGATGTGAGTGTGTGGGTGTGTGGATGTGAGTGTGTGGGTGTGGGTGTGGAGAAGCGTGAATATCATATTCACACACCCACACCCACACCCACACCCACACACTCACATCCACACGCCCACACACGCACACTCACACGCACACCTACACCCACGCCCACATCCAAAGCGACACCCACACCCACGCGCTCGGGTGCGTTACTTTTGGGCCACTCTGTATATAACTTATCTGCATATTCAAATATGGGCCAATCATGATCAATATTTGGTTGATGTTGCCGAACTTTCAATAAAGTTTCATCATCTAAGAACAGAGACTTTTGTTCACTATTTGATTCTATTTCATTTCTTTGAGCTTCACAGATTGCAGCATTTGCATCATTATTCTTGTTTTATCTAAAATAGATCTTGATTCATCAATAAAATTCTTATTTAATAAAAGTTGTTGGTAATATTTCATGGCTTCCTTAGCATTACCTGAACTAATGATTAATTGAAACACATTGAGATTTGTAGAAAGCTTGGATATATCATTGAAGAGAAGTTTCCTTCGTTAAAGTTAATTGAATAATCCAAGTTGAATCGTTCACTCACTTTTTTTACAGAATTAATTTGAAAAACAATGTCAAGAAAGAGTAAAATTTCTTCTTCATATGACATCGAGTTATAATGATAAATATCGGCAAATGGATAGAGCTTATTAGTACGCGCATTTGAAATATTAATTTTGAATATAACTCCAATTTCAGCAGTGACTATAAGTCCACGAGCAATATTGTCGTTATGCGATGTTGACTTGATCATGTTTATTGATATAAGATGACTCACAATTGTCGCAGTTTCTCCATGTTCTGACGTTGCTAATTCTGTTAATTTTTCATACAAACAATATGATAAACAAACAAAATTTGTAAACCGAATCGACACTTCGTGTTTGCAATGCTTTGTTGACAAGTCAACAAACGAATGAACGTCCTGATGATTATTATCATACTTGTTATGCTCTGCCTCCTGCCTCATCGACACTCTATTCGCTATTGAACTCTTCTACAGTTGTATTGAGTTCTAGAGTAGTGTCGTTTTCTCATGGGTACGAGAAACAGTTGCTAATGGATTCAATAGTGCCAAGTAAATGCTGTGCTAATTCTTCTTCATGAAGTTTAATTGGGAAATAAAATGGATAATTTGTCTATGATGACCGCTTTGAAACAACAGTGGATAATAGATGGACAACATTATTCGTCATGATCATGTCGATGTTTTTCCTTTCTGATTTTATCAACGATTAATGTGGTTGATGTACTTAATCATAATAAAAATGTTTCTCCAAAATCGTAGCACTCAAAAACAATAATCTTTATGAAATTAACTCACAAACGTCCAATGTTGTACTACAGAACACCCATGGAGTAAAATATTCAAGGAAACGGACTGCGTAACGCGTTTCTGAGATTGCAGCATGCGTTTCGCAGCGTTTTTTCAATATAGAACGCGTTTCACAGCATTCTTACTTCGATAGAATGCGTTTTGCTGCTGTCGTTTTTTGAAACGATCTGAAACGTTTTTTTCCAAGATTGCGTTTCGAAGTGTTTCCGAAGTAAAATAATGTCTAACGCATTTCGGTCGATAGGTAACGCGTTCCAGAGACACAGATTCGGAGAAACGTGAAACGCGTTTCCTTTTCAAACGCATTTTGCATCGTTTTTGTTTGAAATGATGCAAAATATATCCGTTTTGCATACAGAATCTTGCAGGAATTAATCTGTACAAAACGTATGAGTTAAGCAAAGTTAATTCTGGCACTATTTTAGAAATTATACTAAATGGGATTTGAATATTTTGTTCCTTGCACTGTTTCTCAACATGAAAATCATGACCCAAACTTTCCAAACACAAAATTAAAATCGAATTCTTCTAAATGTTTAGGCTGCTAGACTGTTATATAAGTCTGATTGGTAGTTAGACTAATATTGAACATCAAAGTGTAAGAAAAATATTTTTTTCTTCCTTGAAAACTCATTTCATTAGGTTTTTATTGAAATAAAACGTGTTTCATAACGTTCAACCAAGCATTGTTTTAAATATTGAACAATTCGAAAAGATTTAGTAAAGATTGATGCTAGTATAATGTGTACGACAACTTTGTTTATTTATTTGTGAAGAAAAGAATCTTGAGTTATTTATAATTTGAATAATTATTGGTATGAATTCATATTTGGACTACTTGATAGTGACTGATGATACTGTGTACAATACTATTAAATATGAATTTAGTTCGTACTTTGTTAATGTAAGCGTGACTTATTGACAAAAAGAATATTCGATTTACAAAAGAAGATTCTTTGCATTTAGTGATACTTTTGGATAAAAGGATGACGAATTTACATATACAAAAGTCTATCAAATAAAGAAAAAAATTCAAAAAATTTATTTTTAAATTTCTTAAAATTTATATCTAAGAGATTCAACTTGTTTAAATATTAAATACAATTTAGATGAATTAAAATCGTTTCAATTGGGTATTTAAATTTAAATTTAAACAAGTTCAAATAAAAAATATACCAAGAGGAGATCAAACTCGTTATTGGGTATAGGCACCAAGGAAATGATAATTTTTAATTTAATGGTTTGGGATACTGAAAATCTAATTTAGTAAGTTTACGGAGACTCTGAAAGACTATAGAATAAGCACTTATATCATTAGATTATTTTAGTTGAACGGTTTGTACACATGTCTTCTACTCTTATGTTCTCGTGTTCGAATCTATGTATTGGCTTTATCAAAATTGATCTAAGTTATAGCTCTAAAGGTGTATGAAAAATGTAAGCGAGTAAATTAATTGTATCTGCAACTCAAAGTGCATGAAGTACTTGACAGTTTTCATTTTTTTTTCATCTAGAATATACGACACCACAGTTAGAGAAACGCTACGAAACGTTTTTAGAAAAACGATCGTTTCACAGCGTTCGTATTAGCAGATGTGAAATGCGTCAAACCGGTCAGCATTAACGCGTTTCGCAACTATGGAAAAATGCGTTTTGAGAACGCGTTTTTTTCGCAGAAATTTACGCCATGGGCAGTATATATAATATTTTTTTTTATAAACGACTCTTCTTATTTTGTTTTTTATTCTGGTTCTGAACGAAGCACAAATAAACATACAAGAATATCAAAAATAATTGAGACATGCATGTGATTCTTTCATATAGCAGTTCGATCATCAAATGAACACTACAAAATGATCTTTTTGGTAACTCCACATTTTATGAGTACTTTGAAAACTAATCTTTTGTTTTGATATACGTCAATATTAGAATTCAGATACAATATGCGATTTACATACATTCCTAACCTTGCACTACATATTTTTATGTGGCTTTTTCCTTCTATACACTTTTATCTCTACATCATATATTATATCAGTATGAATAAGAAAAAGAACGGTTACTTTTTTTTCGTTCTCTTATTGACACATGTTCTGCTTTTGAAAAAGTCGTATATTCACATATGTTTGTCGAATAATGCAACAGAGAGAAAAAAGAATTTACCAATTTAAAGTCTTTTAAATACTAAGTGTATTGTGACAGAACAAATACAAATGACTAATATAACGAACTAAGTGGCTGTTGTTTCTTCCAACTTTTATAGATAAGAAAGAGAAAGAAAAAAAATGTGAAGCATATATGTTTACATCATATTGTTATCATGAGTGATGATACAAAGTCTCCAACTTTATTCGAATATTTGCCAGTCGAAATCTTTCTACAAATCTTCGAATTATTGCCACTTGAGCACCTTGTTACATCTTTCTTCGGTCTTAATTCGTACATTGATTCAATCATTCGATCTGTTAGAGGTAAAAATCATGGAATTAGAAACAATGACATCAATGCAATCAATATTCTTCAATTATTTCCTACTTCCATTAATCGTTTGGTAATCATCAATGCTGAAGTTGATTTGACACCATTGATCAATTTACAATCGCTTTCATTGGAATATGCTACTCACATACAACTCAATACCATTCGTCCACATTATTTTCCTTTACTTGAAATTCTTCATATCGAAAGTAATGATAGACGACTATTTTCATTAACTATTTGAATAGAGAATATTCCTTTAGAGTTCAGTAATAAATCGACAACGATAGTTTTCATTTTTTTTTCTCTATAGACCTTCACGCATCTTCGAATAATGATCCAATGATTTTCAGTAATTTATTTCAAGTGATATTATCGAATGGTTTTCCTCGACTTCGAATATGCACAGTAATGGATATTGGAAGTGTATCTTTCAATGATGAATGGACAGGATCACTTAATCTACAGATTCTCAATGTAGAAATGAAAACAAATAAGGATGAAGAAAAACTTCGATTGAAACTCCCATATGTGCATCAGTTGACAACTCACGACAGTTTATCGATCGATCCATTTCCAAGTAAATCATCTTATATTTTGTAATGAAAGCTAAAATTAGCTCGAACATATCTGTTTTCCAAAAATAATGATTGTTTTCAAACATTGAAAATCTGTGAAATCTTTCATGATAAACATACACGTTCAGAATTCTTTTTCAGTCATTCTCGTGATAAACTATTCAATACTTATGAATATTTTTTGTAGTGCATCATAGGGGCTTACTAAAACGTATATACATGGAGTTACAAAAATTGCAACAATTAGAGTTAGAAAAAAAGTTCATACTCGATGTTTCCCCTTTCAAGCTGCGTTTGGATAGTAACAAACCACCACCTCGTTTCAATGATACAAGAATGATTCGCCACTGTGTTCAACAAGATCCCAGCATCATTCAAGGTCGACTTTTGCTACAATCTAAACCATACTGTCGTGCATCATTTCTTATTGAAATCGCATTTCCAAAAGAATATCCATTTAAATGTCCTGAAATAACATTCGTAGATCCTATTTATCATCCGCTTGTTCATAAATCGAGCAAAAATTGCGGATGCAGTTGTATTTTTCGCTTTTCAGCTCTTGACATATATAAACCCTCAACATCGCTGAGTGCTATTGTTACAACTATTATTGAGACCATTGATAGTCCACTGACTATTGAACATTCCCATAATAAAGAACGTCTTGCAGAATATCGTAACGACTACCAGACATTCTATAAGAAAGCATTAGAATGGACACACTTATATGGACGACCACGTTATTAATGGAATTACAGGAGGCATTAAAGACATTGTCGATAGACAAGCACATTCTTTTTTCTACTTTTTTGTTTTTTCTACTATTCACTAAAAATTATTTGCAGTATTATCACAAGTTTTTGAAATATCTTCATTCATCTACGTCCATCCTCATTTTGAGGTTGGTTTTTATCGTTCAATCCTGACATCTTGTAAGAAAATACACATCATAGATATGGTAGACCTTTGTCAGCAGTGTATTATTTTTTACATTTTCGTTTTAACAGAGAGCAAACCATGATGAGTGACAAAAACAAATCTAGTAATGATGATTTCTTTACATCCAAGTGTTCAATTCACTTTTTAAGTCGCATACCATAACATGGTGGGGTGAGGTTTAGAGAGGATAGCCACTTCCCCATTCTCATGCCCGACAACGAATAGTAACATCGACAGCAACCTCATAAATAATTAGAATCAAGTGCACCGACCAACAGTGATATCGATATCCCTTCTTTAATCAGTCATTGAACGTGGATGCCGATCCAGACTTCGAAAATACTCATTTTTTATGGTTCTTTCAATGATGATTTTCCAATGTGACTCGGAAACAACTCGAATACAACAAATTTTAACTAATATTTTTTACCATTTTATAGAACTTTGAAAGCTCTATCTATCCTGAAAATGGTGCTGTTACTACAAGTTCTTGTCGATAAAGTTGAAATTAATTAGTTAATAGTTAACCCAATAAAAGTAGCGCATACAAATGAACACAAATGCGTTTTCTCAACGTAAGTTTCCGTGTTTTAATGTATTTGGAATTTGATTTACAAGAAAAGAAGGACTACTGAGAGGTCTGTATCATATATATATATACATCTTGTTTGCATAAAAAGTAAAAATGATTTCATTTCGAATTACCAATTTTTCTTGTTTTCGATTAACTTTTATATCTTTCATTTCTATGAAATTTTTATTTGTTGATATAATTATATAAAAGTTATTCTTGTCTCTTACTGGTTTTTTTTTCTCTTCTGAATACGAAGATAACATATTTTGTCATGATCCTAACCAATCCAGGATAATATCATAATATTCTTTTCGTATTCTTTTTTCTCACATAAGTATCTCATTAAACTATATGTGTCAAGATTTGTACATATACCTTATCAATTAAGGGGGGCCCCTTCAGAAAATCCAATTTTTCGAAGATGAGTTGAAATTGAAGTTTTATTATAGGAAGATGCATCGAAGTCTCCTTTTTCAGAATATCTATGTTTTATCGAAAAATGAATTGATTTTGACGAACTTATCGTCTAAAACTTCGCTCCTACTATCATATTTTTTGAGAAATTTTAACGGTTTTTTTTCTAGCTTTTTCGACTTTTTAGGCTGCTTTCTCTTTGCATCAGCATTTCATAAGTTTTTTTTAATACTAATCACTAAGCGACTATGAACACTTAATATTAAGATCACATATTTATAGCCTGTCTTGAACATTGGTATATAAATCAGGTGATTTTCGGAAAAATCGATTTCTAATATTTATTTTTCGAAAGTACTGTATACGCGGGCAAGGTTTTTTAATAATGACTCAATAGAGAAGTGATAATTCTTTTTTGATACATAGAAGGCAGTTAGGGCTAGATCCTCCCAGAGCCTAATTTTTGAATTTCTCTTTTGGTGAAATAAAAAACTTAGATATTTCATTTTTGTTAGCAATTTTTTTGGGCCTGATTTCGTGAATTGTACGAAAAAAGATTTTTTAAAAATAAACAAAGGGAAATTCAAAAATCGAGCCCTGTGAGGATCTAGCCCTAAGGGTACTCTACAACTTGAAAACAGCCCGGGCTTGTTAGCTCGTATCCTTATTGCGAAATCCTTACCCGCGTAAAGGGTAACGAATTGACTAGAACTTGTGCATTTCTTTGGGATTTGGGAGACATAGTGGGTGTAGGTAGGTGTGGGTCTGGATATGAGCATCGGTATAGGTTATTCTTCTTCTATTACCCACATCCAAATCCACACATCCTACACATCCCATACTCACACCCATAGCAGCTCGTGTTTCTAGTGACATTATATTCGCGCTAAGACATGTGTTAGGAGTCGTTATGGGTGGGTGTGGGTGTGGGTGGGTGTGGGTGGGTGTGGGTGGATGTGGGTGTCGGTGTCGGTGTGGGTGTGGGTGTGGGTGTGGGTGTGGGTGTGGGCGTGGGCGTGGGCGTGGGCGTCGGTGTGGGTGTGGGTGTGGGTGTGGGTGGG